TTCTGACTATTCCTTTCTCTTCCTCTCCATTGTCTACTCTGTATTATAATGCAAGGGAAACCAAGATTAAAAAAACAAACACACAAATAAAAAACAGTCAAGCATCTTAACATGATTCCACCCCCATTCCAGCCATGACTCAATCCCCGCATCTCAGAGCCCTGCAGTTCCAAGGGTGTGCGTATATCGTCCTTTATCCCTGTCCCTTTTGGCCCTCTCAGACATGCCCAGTTGTTCTCCCATCTGCGCTGTTTCTCCACTTCCCTCTCCCTCCCTGTATATTGCCCCCCTCCCCAGCACCCAAGCTCTCCTGTGTCCAGTCCCCACCCTGAGCTCCACTCACATTTCTTAATTTGCACAGGTAGTGCAGTAGTTGTGATCATTTTAAACAGTTCATAATGTGTTTCAGGTTCTCTAGTGTTTAGATGCAGCAGGGCCCACTGAGAAGGGGCACTGGGAATCTGGAGGCTGAACTAGGCAGAAGACTGATTTCTTTGGTACTTTTTTCAGTTTTGTAGCTTGTGTCTTTGTTATTTCAAAAAAAAAAAAAAAAAAGTTAGAAATGAAAAGGCAGCATCAGGGTAACATCTCCTGTTTTGGATCCTTCAGATGGTGCCCGGCAGAGCACCAGGCTTTGCATGGTTGAAGTGACTGTTGACTTTACCCCTTGTTGCTCTTCAAAAAGTCAGGCCTGTGTTCATTCCTCACGAATTTGCTTTGACTTGACTCTGTCGCCTTCATTGCAGGATGTCTCGGAACTAAGGAATGAACTGCAGCGGAAAGACGCCCTGGTCCAGAAACATCTGACCAAGCTGCGCCATTGGCAGCAGGTGCTGGACGACATAAGTGCGCAGCACAAAAAGCCCGCTGACCTCCCGCAGGGCTCCTTGGCCTACTTGGAGCAGGCATCGGCCAACATCCCCGCACCCATGAAGCCTACCTGAGCACCAGAGCCCATGGCCTCCTGGATACCTGGTCTCATGGGTGTGGCCTGATTGGGGGGCGGGGGGAGCTCGTTGCCATAGAAGGAGATGGTTTTTGTCCTACATTCCCACCTGAACTTTTTTCCCTTGTTTTATAAGCTGTTGATTTTGAAGTGAGTACTTCCTACTATGCCTTAGCTGTGGTCAACCTGGCAGATTTGTTTTGTCTTTAAGTGTAGACTTAGTTTAGTGTGATAGCCAATTATTGATTCGTTTTTAGAGTTTGGGGGGTTTTTTGGCTGTGTGTGTGTGTGTGTGTGTGTCTTAATCTCTTTTGTGTGTCTACTTGTCAGATGAATTTGTCTGATAGAAGAGAAAATGACGCTCGTCTGGACATCAGGAGATGAGGATTTGGGTTGTAAGCCTCGTGTGATAATTAGTCCTCAGCACAGACATCCCTTAGAAATATTGGGGGGGTCGGTTCTAGACCACCCCAATCAAGCCAGTGTGGCAATCAAGCGTGTCTTTCTAGTCCATGTGGCAGTTAGGCCTCCAGTGTGCTGTGTTAGTGTCTATTAGTATGCAGTAGCGTGATGAAAAGGTTTGAAATCCTGTGAGAATTGTGACGGGCACACTGTTGGAAAAGTGGCCTCAGGAGACTTGGCTCAGTGCAGGGCTGCCACTGACCTTCCATTTCTTATAAATATGTCCACAAAATGTGGCTAAGTGAGGTGTACCTGTAGTGGTGTGGATACGCCTGTGAGTGTGTGATGTTCCAGACTCTGAACTACTACCTCAAGAGGGGGAATCTAATGCAGCACAGTCTGCCCTGCAGCCAGAGCTCTCCGAGTGACGCTGTTCTGTAAATACTTAAAAGGAGAGTAACCTCCTAAGTTGCTGTGGCTATAGTGCTACTTTTAATGGGATACGTTTCTTCTTTGGTGTGAATTTCTCTTTTGAGGGGTGGGGTGTGAGCACTAGGAGTGGGTTGTGTCCTATGTGAGGTGAGTCCCTATAAAGAGCGGGCAGGCCCTGTCCTCATACAGCACAGCAGCTGGGGACCGTGAAATAGCTTACAGGGCTCGACGTTTGCTGGGCACTGTATTAGTTTTGTTCCATTTTCATTTTGCTTTTCTGGAGCAGAAGCAGTTTCCATTAAGGAAGGCCCTTATTCTTAGATGGTCTTGAGATCTAGGGACTGGGGCCCCCAGGGTAGGCGGTGGACAATAGGATGGCCCTCCTCAAGAGCACCTCCAGCATCAGCCTTTGTGAGTGGATAGATCTACTTGTTAACTTTATGGGCTCCTCAGGTGAGCATTGTTCCTGGTATTAACTGGATAAGATTTTTTCTGTTTTATTCAGTCTCTTTTTAGATTACAGCCTTCCCCCAACACAGACACTTTATTGTCCTTGAATGCTCTGCATTTCTGAGACTGCTCCTTAGCCTTGAAGGCCCATCCCACATGCATTCAAAGCCACTCTTACTTCCTGGTGCGTGGAGCCTTTGAACCCCTTCACCCTACATCCCAGGACAGGACTTTTGATTACGTCTCTGACCCATTAGTTGAATTAGTGATTTGTATCTGTTTCTACTTTTGCTACATTGTTAAGTGCATGATAATCATGCAGTATTCCCTTTAAATGTACATATACAAGAGGTCTTCACAAAGCTTGTGGAAAAGTGCAATTAGATAAAAATTAAAAATAAACTTTCTCAGTATAAACACTATCAAGGCTAAGACACGTTTGTAAGTGACTCTACCCAACATTTAGTCCATCTCTAGAGAATTGCAGGTCCTATGAGGTTCGCCATGTCAGTGCAGTGTTTTTACATTATTAATTAAAGACAAATGGGTGCCCTTTAATGCACAGGATTAGGAAACTGAAGTCACAAGGAGCCAGCGCAAGACTGAGGTGCCTGTGTAATGAGTTCCCATCAAAACTCTCGCAAAATGCCTTCTGTCCGCACATGCATACATGCACATATATATACACAAGGAGTGTGATGCTTTAGAATGATGCACTAGATCACAAGGTCAGTTTAACCTTCTAGGTGAGCAGTTCAAACTCCCTAGCCACTCCTGGGAAACCCTCTACAGGGTAGCTATGAGTCAGAACTGACTTGACGGCACTGACCTATAGCAACACGTAAGGATGCTACAACGTTAGAGAAACACCCTAACCCACCACACAAATACAGGAAAAGAACCACATGATCATATTGATTGATGCAGAAAGGCATTTGACAAAATTTAACACCATTCCTGATAGAAACACCCAATAAAATAGGAATAGGAGGGAAATTTCTCAAATAGGGCATACATACAAAACAAACAGCCAACGTCAGTCTCAACAGAGAGAAATTGAAAGCATTCCCCTTACTAATGGGAACCCAAAGAACACTTGTGTTACTAATGTGTGTTCTTGTGGCAGTTCCAATCACAGATACCCTGTATGGAGTTTCTCAGAGTGATTGGTGGATTTGAACTGCCAACCTAGCAGCTACCAGTCTAGTGCTTATCCTACAGCATCATACCTGGGCTCATATTAACAATATTGCCATTCACTATTGGGCTAGAGATCTTAGAGTTGAGTTATAAAGCAAAAAAGGGGAAATTAAACGCATCCAAAGCGGCAAAGGGGTTAAACTCTTTGCAGATGATATGATTGTATACATAGAAAATTCCAAAGACACAAAAAAATTACTGGAGCTAACTAAAAGTTTCAGCAAAATGACAGTACAAGATCAACATACAAAAATTAGATTCCCTTATACTTAATGGATGTAGTAGCTCAAAGTACCAACTGAGAGAGAAGGAGTCTTCACATCAAGTATCAATCCCATCCCCTCTATATACAGGGTTGAACAGGCAACTTAGACATTGGCTACCTAAAATAAGGGGGCGATAAAAGCACGAAGTGACTGCCTTACAAGTTTTTAAGGGGGAGTTTAGTTTCAGAGGGTGCAGGGGGAGGTACAATCCCCATTGAATGGTTTTGGTCTTATGAAAAGGGGATAAGATTTTTTTATTATTACTATTAAAAATATACCAGTCTTGGTTTATTTCTTTATAACATACAAGTTAAAAAGCAGGGAATTTTAAGCAAAGCTGGAAACACTTGCTTTTCTCCATGGTATAAGAATAAAAAGGTAAGTCAAAAAGTACTATTATGAGGATTCCAGTTTATGTAAATGGTTCATTCTATAGAAAACCTTTGTTCTTAAGCTTTTATTGTGAATTGGGCAATAGTTTACATGCGAGACCATCAGCTTTATGTTCATCCTATCATATTTCCTTTCATTGCAATGACTACAATCCCCTCCATGCATCATCA